GTTATTTTTCGTAAAATCATATCTAGGGAAGAAAAAAAATCATTGCCGTGTGTATACTCTACATCAGTCCTCATTGGATATTCAAATCAATTCAATAAAATGTTCATAGAGTAATCTAAGAATTTCAATGTAATAGGATTCTAGAAACAAAGTTATTACCGTCAAGGAACTCACATACAAAATGGGCTGTAGACATGTACGACCAACAAAGATGCAGTGTGAAAGGTTTTATGATGGAAGAAAGCTTTGAGCAAGTCCTTAAAAAATGAAATATATCTATTAGTAGAAGGTGGAAAGGGAAAAAACATTTCAGGCAGAGGGACTGATAGAAGCGAAGGTGTATGGTTTCTGGATGGGCCATATTTATGCAGCTGGTGGCTGGGGAATATGGAGGAAGATTCAGAAAGAGTAAGTATCTAGAAAGTAAAGGTCAGCTGGATTTTTGAGATTTTTATCATTCAGGCAATGAGGAGTCCTCGAATGTTTGTGTAAATATGTGTCTTAGAAAGAGAAGTTAGTTCTTTGTAGGCAATAGAAACGGACTCTGGTAACAACAATTACATGTGTATGTTTGAGAGGCAGGTACTGAAACGTTCATGCTGTAACTACCTGTGCAAAAAACGTTCATGCTGTAACTACCTGTGCAAAAAGAGCAACTCCTTTTTTTAAGAAAGAGTGATGATTCAATATCTCTGTAACTAGAGTGACCATGAGACAGACTGTCCAAACTGGAACCCTTTGGAGAACAGGAGGTGGGAACTTTTAATAATTCTGTTAGGGCAGCCATCCACAATTGGGGGTGTCCTGGGCAAAGTGAGAGTCAGAACTACCCTATTTATAACTGAAGGAAATTTTGATGACAAGGCTAGACAAGACAAGAATGCGAGCTAACACGAGAGAACCCTGTGATGGGCACTGATCACAGTTGCCAGCATTTTACACATATGAAGTCATTGAATCCCTAAGCAAAAAACTATGAGGTAGGTATTAATATACGTTCTCATTTTATAGGTGAAGAAATCAAGGCAGAGTTTAAGTGACATGCCCAAGGCTAGCTGGTAACCTAGCAGGTGCTAGAGAGCCAGGATTCAAATCCAGGTTGTCTGGTACCAAGACTTATGTCCTAATCTCTACCACATTGTCTTGCAGTCACACCTTGCTTGCCTTCTAAATTTGAATTCCAGGCGCGCCTGGGTGGCTCAATGGATTAAAGCCTCTGCCTTTGGCTCAGGTCATGATTCCAGGGTCCTCCTCCTCTCTCTCTCTCTGCATGCCTCTGCCTACTTGTCATCTCCGTCTTTAATTTTGAATTCCAGATAAACAATGAATAATTGTTCAGTACAAGTATGTTCTATGCAATGTTTGGGTCAAGACTTCTTCCGAGTTGCAGAGCCTGTGGTATTTCTGACCAGGTTCAGGTCTGTCTTTACTCCAGGCAATGCTGCAGATGCCTGGGGTCCCAGCATCGTCTCCTTCCCACCTCAAAATACATGCTTCAGTATCTATATGAATATTACACATATTATGGACTCTTTTGAGAATAATTAAGAGTAGACTATGAAGTAAGCTAGAAAAAAACCCTCAACTCATGTGGGAAATACCACCCAACTGGTGGGCAGAATGGCACCCTCCCCAGAAGATAAGTCTACTGGGAACTTGTGAATGTGAGCTTATTTGGGAATTGGGTTTAGATCACCCCGCAAGGATCTTGAAATGAGATCATTCTGGGTTTAGGAGAGACCCTCAATGCAATGGTATGTATGCTTAGAAAGGTAAAGGGAGGGACGCCTGGGTGGCTCAGTTGGTTGGACAACTGCCTTCGGCTCAGGTCATGATCCCGGAGTTCTGGGATCGAGTCCCGCATCAGGCTCCCATCTCCACGGGGAGTCTGCTTCTCCCTCTGGCCTTCTCGCTCATGCTCTCTCTCACTGTCTCTCTCTCAAAAAAATAAATCTTTAAATAAAAAAAAAAAAGAAAGATCAAGGGAGATTTGAGATACAGAGGTATTAGGCAGAAGGCCACATGAAGACCAGTAGAGATTGAAGTCTTGCTGGTAGAAGCCAAGGAACATCTGGATCCACCAGAAATTAGAGAGACATGGAAGGATTCTCTTCCAGAGTCTTTGGAGAGCTCCTGCTGACCCTTGATTTTGGACTTCTGGCCTCTAGAACTGTGAGAGGGAAAAAAAAAAAAAAAAAGACTGTTGTCTTTTTCTGTAAACTGTTGTGGTGATTTGTTGGGCCGTCTGAGGAAACTGACACAGGTCATGTTCCATCCATCAGTGAATTATGACAACTCAACCTTCAAGATATATCTAGAACGAGCATCACCTCCCTCTGCCCAGTTAGCTGCACAAGCCACCAATGTGTTGTTGGCCATCCTGTGCTAGTCCCTTTGTCCCCTACAGTCACAGCAATCAGAGAGTGATTTTACACTGAAGTCAAATCTTGCCAGTCCTCTGTTCAAACCTTTCCACTTCCCATTTCTCTCAGAATATAACCCAAAGTTCTGACCAGGGCCTGCAAAGCTGGATATGATCTGGCCCTACTTTCCCTCTGACCTCATTTCTTTCCACCCAGTCTCTGTTTCCTTGTTGTTCCACAAAGGTGCCAAACACCTCCCTTGGAGCCTTTGTGTGCCCTTCCTTCCAGCCAGATAACCACAGGCTTGCTTCCTTACACGTCCCTGCTCAAGTCCCACCTCCTCAGAGAAGCCTTGCTCACCCATCCTATCCAAAGTGGCCAATTACTCTCTAAACAGATTGGTTTATTGATTATCCTGAAAGTGCTCATCATAAACACTTTGTGTTCCTGTTCATAGCCTCTCTCTCTCCTGTTGAGCATGAAAGCCTCCTAAGTGTCAGGACCTTGTCTGTCTTGTTCGTTCTACATTTCTGGTATTAATGCTGTGTACAGTGCAGTCAGTGATAAATAATTGTTGAATGAAGAAACGAATAAACCTTATAGCTATGAAGGGTGTCGACCAAAGAAGATGGAGATGGTGACTACTTTCAGCCCCGCCCAAACAGCACTTTTAGAAAAGTAACCTGGATAGCTACCTACACACATTCTCTGTGGATGGAACAAGAGTCACCACCAAAAGAAACAACCCACTGTAGTGGCAAAGGAAGATCTGAAGAGAGGGCATAGTTTAATACTGTCAGCTGTTTAATGAGACATTTTAGAATGCTTACAACTCTCAAGTCCAAGAGATCTATTCACGTGAAATCTAGAAATGGGCTCCTAAAGGAATTTGGAAGGAACAAAAACAAATTTTCATGTGTTTAACACTCAGCAGTTGAAAAAGTACTTTCATACTACTCATTTGGACTGTTACCTGCCTGAGTATAATCTTCTCATCTTACAGATGGCATTAGGGAGAACGGAGAAGGCTAAGTGACCTATACAAGGGCACAGCTGCACGACTGGTGTTAGGGGAGCATCAGACCCAAACCCAGACTTTTTTTTTAAGATTTTATTTATTTATTTATATACTTACTTACTTACTTACTTATGAGAAAGAGCAAGAGGACAAGCAGGGGGAGTGGCAGAGTGAGAGGGAGAAGCAGGCTTCACAGTAAGCAGGAAGCCTGAGGTAGGGCTCCAGTCCAGGACCCTGGGATCATGACGTGTGTTGAAGCCACCTGGGCACCTTACAAACCCAGACTTCTGGTTTCAGATTCCTTATTTCCCTCTATCACACACCGTTCACTTATTTATTTAATGTGCATTATTGAGCACAAACTGTTTCAGGAACTGCTTTAAGTGTGTCACATTAGGTTAAGAAGGTTAATAATCTTTGCCTTTGGTTTTTTCAATTAAGAAAAAGAATGTACATGTACTAAATATTGTTGGGGAAAAAAGTAACAGTAGCTGCTACCCTTTACCCACCCGCTTTTTATTTCTCCGGATGCAACTGCTGTTTTCTGGAAATTTTGGTAAATACGCCAAGTCCCCTGTCTGTCGCGTTTGTGAAGGGGGTTCCTTTATGCAGTTGGGGATTGGACAGGACGACTTTGGCTGGCTCATCGCCACTCCGTGGGCGGCCACCGCACAGGATAAGTGAGCTGCACCTGGTAACGAGGATGCCCTTCTCGCGTGTAGGGCTGTGGAGTGGGAAGCATGACCGTGCTACTGGAAATGCTCCCAGAGGGGCCGGGCCGGGTACCCCAGCAGCAGCACCTCAGGTCCGAAGTACACAGCCGAGTTTAACCTGCGTTCTCTGGGTGCGGGGCAGGGGGGCGAGACGAGGCTCCCCGTGGGCGGGGCGCGGGGCGGGGCGCGACGAAGAGGCTCCCAGCGGGCGGGGCGGGGCGGTGCGTGGTCGACGTGGCAGCCGCTGGGGCGTGCGCCTTCGGTGGCCATTTTGGAGGCGGGGACGCGCAGCGGGAGCTCTTGCCGGTATCTTCGTGGTCTTCTCGGAGCGGTAGTGTTAGCACCCCGAAGTCCTGTCCCGCACTTTCCAACTGCCACGCATACGCTCTCTCGGGCCCCCAGGTAAGCGTCAGCCTGGCAGCGATGCGGGTGCTGGCGGGCGGTGGGATGGGATGCGGGCGCCAACGGGCGCCGACCCCTCCAGGTGGGCGGGCCAGCCGGCCGCGCCGCGGGTTGGTTAGGGTCGCTTCGGAGCCCCGCAGTGGAGTCCCGAGCGCAGGCTGTGCTAGCGTGTACAGTGCGGCCCGGCACGGGGACCCTTGGCCAGGCGAGCAGTCCCCGCCGCGCGTTTAGCACTGTGGGTGGGGGTCCTGGGTCCGGTTCCCGTCCTTTGCTCCGGGGCGCGGACCCAGCCGGGCGCCCCTGACCGTTTGGCTCCGCCTTCCAGCGCGCGGGCGGCCGAACGGGACGGGCGGCAGGCGCCGGCTGACCTTAGCCCGGCCCGGCCCGGCCCGGAGACGTGGCAGGGCCTGCTGGGAGGCCGCAGTCTCCAGGCACAGGATGCCGGCCGTTCCCGCCTTCTCCCGACTCCTGGGTCCGCGCACTGGGGATGGCAGTGGGAAGGAGTTTATTTTCCCCAGGTTCCCCCGGCTTTTGCATTCGACTCTTTGTTCGCTCTTGGGACCGGCTTCCAGCAAACTGGCAAGATAGCTCCTATCCTAGAAGGGCAGAATTTATATCCATTTCTGCCTGTCAGGGTAGGTATTTTTGAGTGACAACATGTACTTGCTTGGGAACATGACTTTTTGGCGTTCCAGTCTTTTTACTTTACAGCCATTCTTTCATTCAGTTAACATTTATGGAAGTTTATTTTGGGGTCAGAGCTGAGAATGCCTAGACAAAACTCTCACATCCTGTTTTGGCGTTCGTTGTTTGTTAGAGCACCAGTAATAACTGCTTTTAAGGCTTTTACTTTGATCAAAGCTGCATTATTCCATTTCTTTATTGTATTCTTATAAGTAGCCATTCACTTTGTACCAGAAAAACCATAATAGATGCAGATTGGAAGAGGAGGGTCAGCCAGAGACTGAGGACTCAATTTTCTAAGCTATTTTTCATTACTTTCTTTAACGTTGACACATTAATAACACTTCTTATGTTGAAAAGGTATGCACTAAAACCTTTACCAAGTCTGACACGTCACTGTAATCACAGTAGTTTTTCTTCAGTAAGAAGGCATAATGTTTATGTATACCGAATTTACCTAATAACCTCATTAAGCCACTTCTTAGTGTGTCTTTTAAAGACTGAAAGAAATTGACCCTTTGTTGCAAGTTATAGGTTGTTTTCATTGCGCAGACTATTTTGCCAACACATTCATTAATTTAGGGATCAAGATGATCTTTAAACAGGACTTCTACTGGCCATTGTAAGGATTTGGTAGCATCTGTAAGGAGGAAAACGGGGAGATGAAAAGAGGTGGCTTTGGCAGGGAGGGATCAAGTCCCCAGAAGGCTGTTTGTGTTCCAGTTTATCTCACTTTGGTGTAGAGGTACTGAGTGAAAAGATGTTTGCCTCCCTGATCCCTGGTCTCTACTTAAATGCCAAAGATATTTCCTCCACATTCACAACCAAACTCTTTCAAAGTGTTGTGTATTTCTACATCTCCTCCTCCTACTCAGTCCAATTGAAACTGGCTTCTAGCCCTGCTCTTTCCATGGAAACTGCTCTCACTGTGTTCATATCTTCAGTTTGGAAAATCAATGACATTCTTTCAGATATCACAGTACTTTGGCATTTCTGCAGCATTTGGTACTGCTGCCCCTTCCCACCTTGGAACTTCTTTGGTTTTTGGACACCACAGTCTCCTGGTTTTTTCCTTTTTGGTCATTTCACTCTTCGCAAGCTCATCTGCCAGGCACTTTTTCAAGGATTGGTTGGGTCATCTTTTCCTTTTCACTAGGTATTCTCTCCTTAGATAACCTTATCCCAGAACATGACTTTAGGACTCAGTAAACTGAAGAAACCTACACTTACTGCTAAACCACAGACTTCATCAGTGTCTCTATTTGGACGTTTCAAGGAGCTTAAACTCGGTATGTCCAATTTTAAACAGCGCATAATGCCCCTTCCCAAAAAAGAAGACCTCAAACCTCTTGACCTTTTCCCGTGTTCCCTGTCTTAGTGAATGCATAGCCATCTATACATTTGTGTAAGTCATGCCCCATCTCCAGTTTTTGAATCTACTCATTCTTCCCTGTCTCCCCGTCATCATATTAGTCTAGGCCAAAGCTTCTCACTCTTGCTACTAGTGATATGTGGGGCCAGATAATTCATTCTTATGAGGGTTTTCCTGTGCCCTGTGCGATTTTTAGTTGTATTCCTAGCCTTTACCTATTAGATACCAGTAGTCCCTCTAGTTCTGACAACCAAAAATGTCTCAGATGTTGCCCAATGACCCCTGGGTCCCTCCTCCCCTCCCTGCACTTTAGAGGCACTTGCCTTGGGTGTTATCAGTTCCTACATGAACTACTTCTCTCCTTCTTAATAGTCTCTCTGCATTTACTCTGTCTGCCCTATATCCCAACCTGCATACTGTGGTCGGAGGAATGTTTTCAGAACACAAATATGAATTGCCAAAAGCTGGAATTAGCCTAAATGTCCTTTACCAGACCAATAGTAAAATGGAATACCATTCAGAAATTTTAAAAAACCCCAACCAGTGATACATCCAACAACTTGGATAGGTCTCAGGAGCATTATATTGACTGAAAAAAAAAGCCAGTTTCAGAATGTCATATGCTGTATGGTTCTATTTAGGTAACATTCATTAAATGAGAAAATGATAGAGAACAGTCTCTTGCCACAGCTTGTGGTTAGTGGGAGGCTCTGACAAAGGAGCACCACAAAGGAGTTTCTTTAGAGTGATTGTGGTGTTGGTTACAAGAGTCTTTGTGTATGATGAAACTTCATGGAGCGACACACACACACAGAAGCATACACATGTAAAAACAGGTGAAAATCCAAATAAAATCACTGGTTACTAGTAACAGCACCAGTGTTAAATTCCAGGTGTGATCACTCTACTGCAGTTAGGTAAGATGCTCTTGGTGGGAGAAGCTGGGGTTAGGATACTCAGGAACTCTGGTCTATTTTTGCATCTTTTTGCAAATCTAAAATTTCTTCAAAAAACTTAGAAGGCAAATATGTCATCCCCAGCTTGAATGCTGTACGGTGCCTTTGTGTCCTTAAAAAACCCAACTCCTTGATGTGGTTTATAAGGTTCAACACGGTCTGGGTTCTTGTCTGTGTCTCCAGTCTTCATCTTTTTTTCTGTTCCTTGTCACATGGGTTTTCTTGAATATGTCTTGTTCCCTCTACTTTACGCTTGTATACTTGGTGTATATTTACTTTTTCTGGAACCTTCCCTACTTCTTTTCCGTTGCCTAATGAAATTCTGCATCTTTTAGATCGCTGTTTATATGTGACTTCCTTTCCTCACTCAACTGAAAATCGTATTCCCCTCAAATAGGATGGTGTTCTTACCCTCAGAGCACATAATTAAGGCACATAATTCGATTTTATACTTGAGACAGACTTGAAAGTTTTTAATTTTTAAGGAAGTTTCCCCATATTTGATAATCCATTTTTCTCTTAGGACCCTGCTATCTAGTTACCATATAACATTCTTGCTGAAGTTAACATTTCTAAAACATGAGACATATCACTTAGCCATTACCATGTATGATTTTAAATGTGAACTAGAGGCGCTGGGAAGTGAGCACATTTCAGTTTTTTTTTTCCATGTTAATAGAAATAGCCCATATATAATGTTTTATGGGAAAAGAAGAAGAAAAAAAATAACATTTTTATTTTAAATGTAATAGTAACTAGAATGAAGATAAAAGTCTAACGTAGATTCATGTGGCAAAAAATTGTATTAGTGAGTTACTGTTTGAAATTTATGAATGATATAAAATTATTTCTCAGTTATAAAGTATGTGTATGAAAATGTTATGTGCACATTAAACATTGTCACAGACAATGTTTTTCTAGGAGTTTTGACAGAGCCTTTATGCAGAAATAAGTGGCATTATAAATTGTATAGACCTCAGTGTCTTGATGATTTTTTTTTTTCTAAAATTATTCTTTGGAACTACACTTGATTACTGTGCAATATATGTTCCATTTCTCTATTTTTACAGTAAACCATAATTGAAGAAAAATGATGGAAGAGAGCGGAATAGAGACAACCCCACCGGGGACTCCTCCACCACACCCTGCAGGCCTGGCTGCAGCCGCCGCAGCTTCCACCCCGCTGCCTTTAGGTACGCGGCGTCGCCAGCATCTGGTGTGGCTGGACGGTAGTAACGATGTTGTTAACTTTTCTCAGAGTCGGTTATAAGAAAAATACATAGACGAAAACATTTCTGATTTTTCCCACGATGAAGGGAAGTGACCTTTTTTTATTGAAGCCCAAAAGTTTGTTTTCCTTTGGGTAAACTTTTGTTCTCTATATTCATACTGACTACAAATCGTCATCTTAGGACAAAAGTATCCCAAAAAGCATGTGTTAGTTTTGTCTCATAGTCTGTCACTTTGTGATGATCAGCCTCCTGACCAAAATTTTGGAGTCACTGTGTAGGTTTTTATGCCGAAGGCATCAAGGGTGAAAAACAGCTCTATTTTCTTGGGTGGGGGGTGGGAAGCAAAATGAATGAAAACACAAAGATCTATTTACGAATAGGACTGTAACTTAATTTTATGTAACTGCTACTTTTAGTTAGGGGAGTTGAAAGTCATTTGCACTTAGTTGTATGTGTTGTATATTTTAAATGACACATTAAAGATAATTAATGGGTTATGGTCTGTTAAATTTTTAAATTTTGCAGTAAAAAAGTAATGAGATACTTTGAAAACTAAGTGAATGAAAAGCATTTCTAATTTTTGTGGGGTTTTTTCCTTCCCATCTTCCAGCTGCAACCAGTTCTTTCTCTTCTCCAAATGTGTCCTCCATACAGTCCTTGCCGCCACATGCGTACTCCACCCCTCAGCCGTCCCTCCCCCCGGTGAGGCCCTCGGCGCCCTTGCCCTTCGTGCCGCCCTCACCGGTCCCTTCTGTTCCAGCCCTCACTACTTCTATCCCACCTCCTGTCTCTCCACCACCTGCTGCTGCCTTCAGTAATCCCCCTCTATCCCACTTCCCGGCTTCATCATCTGCCCAAAGCACTCTTTTATCTGCACCCCCTTCTGGTCCTCCCACATCGGGATTTTCCGTTGGGGCAACTTACGACATTACAAGGGGACATGCAGGAAGAGCTCCCCAGACACCCCTGATGCCGTCATTCTCTGCACCTCCGGTAACAGGTAATTCTCTCTTACTGATACTTTGAAATAAATGGCTACAGTTAATGTTTAAATACATTTTTTAATAACTGCTTTATTGGCAAATAATTTATGTATCATACAGTTTACCCTTACGTCGAAGTATGTAATTCAGTAGTTGTCACAGTATTTACAGAGTTGTGCAGCCGTCACTGTCATCAGTTATAGAACCTTTTAGTCACCCCCAAAAGAAGCCCTCTACCTATTAGCACTTACTCCCTACTTGCTCCCGATGTTCACAGCCCCAAATAACCATTCATGAGATTGTGTCTCCATGAGTATACCTATTTTGGATTTTTCATATAAATGGAATCATACCATATATAGTCTTGAGACAAACTTCTTTCACTTAGTGTATTTTTTTTGAAGTTTTATTTGAGAGAGCAAGTGAGCGAGCACATGAGTGTGGGAAGGGGAGAGGGAGAAGCACACTCACTGCTTAGCAGGGAGCCTGATGCACGGCTCCATCCCAGGACCCTGAGATTGTTACCTGAGCCGAAGGCAGACATTTAACCTACTGAGTCACCCAGGCGCCCCTCAGGGTATTTTTAAGTTCATCCATGTTGTAGCATGTGTCTGTACTCTTTGTTTTTATGGGTCAGTATTCTGTAGTATGGATTTTCCTTCCACATTTTGTTTATTCATTTCATCCACTGATGAACTTCTGTGGTGTTTCTACTTTTTGGTATTACACATACTGCTTTTATGAACTTTTGTGTACACGTTTTTGTGAGGACGTATTTTCACATCTCTTGGGTATATAACTAGGCATGGAATTGTTTGCTTTCAAGAAACTGCTAGACTGTTTTCCAAGGCATTTGTACCATTTCACTTCAGTACCGTTTGAGTGTTTCAGTATTGCTGCATTACTTTTTTTTTAAACTTTTTTCTTTTTTGCCTCATTACTCTTAACTCATGTCTTTGATTTCTGGAGTTTTCTGTTCTCATATTTTGATATTTACATTATCAAAATAAAGGTAATGTTATTAGTGATAAATTTTGTGTGTTGTAAAATGTAGAGTATGTATACTGTATGTAGTGTCAGATAAAATTTTAAATACTTGTTTTAATATTTTGTATACTTACAGAGAGACATCAAGGTGATATTTGAGAGTTTTTTTAAAAGCTTTACTTAAAAGGATGGTCCAGGGAGTAGGGAGTATTTTTATTTAGCCAGATAAAAATTTAAAACCAAATAAAAGCTTCATGTATGCCTTAAGTTTATGGTAATGGGCCATCTTCTTTTCTAAATCGGTTACACCTACTTTTCTAGCTTCCCTGGAATGATTGTTGGAAACCAGTATTAAAACTTCGTCCTTGTCATCCTTTGCCTGTTACTTCTCGTTTTAGGAAAAGAAGTAATTTCGTTCTGATTTTTATTAATCCAACTTTGCTAATCTATTTTTACTAATAAAATTTTTTGCATAGTATAGGCATTATGTCTATGTCTTTGAATATATGAATTTTCTTTTTTGAGTTAAAGTAGGGCATATAAAATAAATATTGTTACATGCTTTTATATGTTGGTCTTGGGTGCTCACATCAATTATTTTTATGCAATAAAGGGATTAGAATTACAGTTGCCCACATCCAAGGGCTAAATAGGACCAACAGGGAGTACTTTTTGATACATATTTTGTCCATTTTCAGGACACTTGGTTAAAAAGTCTACAGAAAGGGCAGGAAATTTCTTCAGAATTTTGTTTTTGTTTGCATTTTATAAAGGTTTAGGTGATTCTTGGAGTGCATACCTCAGTCTTGAAATGCCTGAGTATGTATTTACATTATGTACGCCAAGAATCACCAAAACCTTTATAAAATATGAACGCTATTTTGAGTACTCATCTCCTATAGTGTATCTTCTTTGTATAGAAAATCGCTTATGAAATAAATTATATATATTGGAAATTTTTGCCATTTACTAGGTATTTTGCCGACTCCCATTACTCAGCAAGCCAGTTTGACATCTCTGGCCCAAGGACCGGGAACCACATCAGCCATTACGTTTCCAGAGGAACAAGAAGATCCTCGAGTTGGTAGAGGTCAGGATGAAGCATCTGCTGGTGGACTCTGGGGTTTTATTAAGGTAACGGGTATTGAGTTTGAAAGTTATACTGAACTTATTAATTTCGAAACTATTAGATGTTCATTGGAACGATTTTGAAAACGTAGAATGGTATAAAGAAAAAATAGTAATTCTTTTTATTCTTATTACCAGTTTTCTGTAGTTTTCAGTCTTTTTATGTGCATATATCTACAGTTGTAATTTTTTAGATTAATCAAAATGGGTTAGTAATGTGTGGATACTATTTTGTATCTTGTGTTTGTCTTTATCTAGCCTATATCAGGAACATCTTCCCAGTCATAAATATTCTGCAGAAAATTTTTCTTCTTTTATGGCTATTTTTGCCCTGCGTGCCATAGGGCATTTATTTCCCGTATTTTGCTAATGTAGTTTACCATTCTGTAATAGTAATTCTTTTTTTTTTTTTTTAAGATTTTATTTATTTATTTGACAGATAGAGATTACAAATAGGCAGAGAGGCAGGCAGAGAGAGAGGAGGAGGCTCCCCACTGAGCAGAGAGCGCGATGCGGGGCTGGATCCCAGGACCCTGAGATCATGACCTGAGCTGAAGGCAGAAGCTGTAACCCACTGAGCCACCCAGGTGCCCCTGTAAGAGTAATTCTTACAAATAAAACTATGATGAGCACTCTTACATGCAGATCTTTATGCCCATCTTGTTTTTTTGAGGTTAATTCCTGACGAATGTCAGGGTAAACATTTAAAAAAATTACTTACAAAAATGACTTTCCAGGAGGGTTATATCAAAATAGACTGTCCCAGCATTTTTCACTTGCCAGCACTGATTATGAATTCAAAATAGAACTTTTTCTAGTTTGATAGACAAAAAACATAACCTCGTTTTAATTTACATTTCTTCATTACCAAACTTGAACATTTTATTCATGTGATTTTTTTTTTTTTTTTGGTCGTTTGTATTTTTCTTTTGTGAAGTCTCTAGTCGTATTTGTTGCCCATTTTTTGAATTGAGATGATTTTCCTTTCTAAATGAATTTGTAAGAGTGCCTCATGTAGTAATATTTTATTATATGCTGTCATATATTGCAGTTTTCTCCTATTTTTATCATACATTTAAATTTTATTACCCTTTTTTGACACAAAAGCATCTAAATTTTCAGGAGTCTTTTTTTCAGTCTTTTTCTTTTCATTTTTTTATTAAAAATAACCTTCTCCCCACCACAATATGTGGTAAATATTTTTCTGTGATTTCTTCTAATTCTTTTATGGTTTTATTTTTTTATACCTAACCAATTTAATGTTGCTGACACTTAAGTTTATTACGTAAAGTAGAAGTCAGCCTTAATTTTCTTCCATCCACTTACTTGAATTCTCCAACATCCTATTCCAGTGTTGTGATACGTCATCTTTATCTTAGTTATGCGGTTGTGTGTTAATGTCAGTTTCTGGACTCTGTTCTGTTCTGCTGTTTGGCCTGTCTCTGCAGTATTACCTTACTATTTTAGTTACTGTTAATTCTGTTTATTATTATACTAATACTTAGTGAAAGTCTCTTCTGCTCAGGTGAGGATGGGGAGTACGCATTGATGAGTAAGAAAGAAAGTTCAGTTCCACGTCTTTGCATTCATAATGATCTTTCAGTATTTGGTTTTATAAGTTTGCCAGTTTCTCTCTACTTGAGAATTTTTTTTTTACTACTCTTTTCTGTTAATTTCTCTTAATGAATTTTGGGATTACTGTGTCACATTCCTCCCAATAGTGAGAGGGTTTGGCTGGATCTTAATTATATATTAAATGTATTTTTGAATTGGTAGGTGGCTAACTAATTCACTACATTTGAATTTTATGTTTCACAAATATGGTATTTTTCTAAGCTTCCTTTTTTTTTTTAATCCTTCTGCACCTTTTCAAGGTTTTCTTCATACAGGGATTACTACTACTTTCCCTGGTTAAGAGCATGTGTCAGTGTGTCTGTTAGCACTTGTACCCAACTCAACTCTACATGTCCTATAAATCATTCTTCTAATATTCTGCATAAGATTGGTCAACAGTTTTAAATATCAGCATTACGGATTCAGCTTTTTTCTGAATCACCTTGGTTCAGTGATTGGTTGGAAGAAGTGGAATGATGGCCTGTTAGCCAGGTGCCATCTCAGGAGCCACTGCTCCCCTGAAGTCTTTTTTTACCACGGGAGACGTAGAGCACAAGAAGGGAATACTCAGACCTGGTTCCTTCTGTTTAATAGTGTGGTTTAAAGAATTCAAAGGAATAGGGCTGAGTTAAAAGAGAAAATTTGGGAATAAACACAACAAATGGGAAGTAGAAGAAAACGTTAATAGAAGATAGCAGAGTAATATATATTAATAGGTAACTTTGGGGAATAACGATGAGAAATGTTGATATTCTTATTTTTTTCTTAGGGAACGAAGTATGTGTCTATGGAGACAACTAACTATAGTTTTTATTTGGGACCTTGATGGATAGGTTTTGCCTAGTCTTTGTTATAAATAAGAAGATGTGAAATGAAATTAAAATATATACACACAGGGGCGCCTGGGTGGCTCAGTGGATTAAAGCCTCTGCCTTCGGCTCAGGTCATGATCCCAGGGTCCTGGGATCGAGCCCCGCATCGGGCTCTCTGCTCGGCAGGGAGCTTGCTTCCTCCTCTCTCTCTCTCTGCCTGCCTCTCTGCCTACTTGTGATGTCTATCTGAAAAAAAAAAAAAATATATATATATATATATGTATACACACAAAGAAATAAGATGCATATATAGGGATACATGTGTAAAATGAATATATATAGCCATAAAATGAATACACGTATGTGTGTGTACATGGAATTCCTCGGTCAGTGCTCCTCAGAATGTGGTCTGCACACTGCTGTGGGTCTGTGAGAAAAAGAGAAAGTGAGAGTGAGCCTTTTGAAAACTTAACAGCAATTTGACATTGCCGTAGCCTTGTTTTTCTTACATTTTACCAAATTACAAGTCTGTGATGTATCAGAAACATTAGAGTTTTCTTTCACCATCAGGTGTTCTTTGCTTAGAATGGGTGTTTATGTGTTATTTTATCTTGTGCAGGGTGTGGCCGGAAATCCTGTGGTGAAATCTGTGCTTGATAAAACAAAACATTCAGTAGAAAGCATGATTACAACGCTGGACCCCGGCATGGCTCCGTATATCAGTATGTACTTAGATAGAGCAGCGTCTGCCTGTGTTTTTAAAGTATGTGCTTTTGTCAGCCTCTCACTGTTATTCCATAGTCTTGTATCCAGTGAAAATCCTCTTATGTTGTAAGTTGCTTGTAAGTCTTAGTATTATTAATTTATCTTTTTCTTAGTCACAAATTTTGAAAACGCCATAGGATGAACTTTGGGAGGAGTAAGACCAATATGCATTAGTATACTAATTAGTACACTAATTGTAAGTAGTATATTTTAATTGTAAATACGGTTAGTGTTGCTTTGTATGAATTTTACTTTATTCACTAAGGACATTTGAAGTGATACTTGTTTATATTTGATTTTGGTAAGTGTCCAATTATCTGTTTTAATTAAATGTGATTATGCTTAACCTGGGAATAATATTTTCAGAGGAAGTTAATCTATTAAGAATATCTGATTAATAGGTTTGGCGGGGAAGCTATTTTAACCACCCTTAAATCCTCCTTCCCAAGAATTCTGTAGACATGACATAGGCATACATGTTGTCTGCCATTTAATTTTGAATGTACCTGTCCACTATGTGAAGAAACAACCACTTTAACAGGATCCGTGGGCAATTATTAGTCATTCTGTTAAACATAGCAACTTGGAAGCTAAAGCTGTGCACTAGAACAGAGATTTTCAATAGCAATAAAAAATCAGTAGCTTTCAGCAGTCCTGATCCAGTTGGTAGTTTACAAACCAGTAAATGTCAAGAACAAGATCTTTGTCCTTTATTATCAGAATTATCATTTATTAAGTGCTTGCTCTGCCAGGCAGTACTTAGGAACTCTGCAAGGTAAGTATTTTCCTCAAGTTGTAGATGAGGAAGAGATGATCTCTCTGAGTTTGGGTTCAGAGAGATGATTATCCTCAGCCACACAGCTTGGTGGAGCTAGATTGAGCCCATGTTCAGTTTGTTTCTGCACTTAGCTACTTTGCTTCCCTGAAAGTAGAAAATTGATTTAAGTATCAAGTCAGCTGAATTGTTCTTGTAACTGCCAGAGGATTTAGAAATTGGACCCTACCATAGATAAGACTTCCTATATTCATAATAATCGAGTTTGACATAATTCATACATCATATATATTTTTTTCTTCATGAGATTTTTTTTTTTTAAAGACATTATTTATTAGAGGGGTGCCTGGGTGGCTCAGTGGGTTAAAGCCTCTGCCCTCGGCTCAGGTCATGATCCCAGGGTCCTGGGATCGAGCCCTGCATTGGGCTCTCTGCTCAGCAGGGAGCCTGCTTCCCCCTCTCTCTCTGTCTGCCTCTCTGCCTACTTGTGATCTCTGTCAAAAAAATAAATAAAATCTTAAAAAAAAAAAAAGACATTATTTATTAGAGTGAGAGAGAGCATGAGACAGAGGAGGGTCAGAGGGAGAAGCAGAATCCCTAGTAGGTGGGAAACCCCATGTGGGACTTGATTCTGGGATTTGGGACTCATGATCTGAGCTGAAGGCAGATGCTTAACCGATTGAGCCACCCAGGCACCCGACACAAGCTCATATTTTGAATGAGGGAAAGAAAGGAATTAGTATTTTTGGAGTCCTTGCTATTTTTACGTACTGTGTGTTAGACTGTGAAAGCAGTTATTTACTCCTTAGAACAAGCCCTATAGGTGGCTGATACTTTGCTGTGAAGAAACAAGCTCAGTGACTTCACCAACGTAACAGAGCTAATGAAGTCAGGATTCAAACCCAAGGCTTTATCTCAGGCCAGTAGTCTGCCTGACATCAAGAAAAAGGCAAAAGATGACGGGGGTAGGGTTCTGGGGGAAGGTACAAAATGAAATGCCTGTTAGTGAATATCATAACTTAACATATGATCTTGATCAGTTAACTGTAAAAAGCAGTAAAACTAATATGAAAAACTTGACACCTTATTGACAGGCAGTGAAAGCAAGGCCATTCTGATATAACAAAACTTGAATTAAAACCCAAGGTATTTTTAGAGAAATATTCTAGACCTCATAACACTTTCAGATGTATCAAGAAAACACAAGAACTGTTAGAAATGGATTGTAACACAGTTTAGGTTCCTACATTCTTAGAATTACTTTCCCCATCATCATTAAATGTGGCACTGCTTATTAACAGAAAGGCCAAAAAAGCCTTTTGAGCTGAAGTTTAGTGGAATGGTACTCGTCTAGGGTCAAGAGACATGTCCCACATGAAGAAAAAAATGAGTAAAAGGTATATTTCTTCTTTTCTCTCCTATGGGACTCAGTGCTTTTAGGTTTTAGTAAATTATGAAATTCTAGTAAAGATGGGATCTGTAGGTCATCCTATTAGGAAAAAAGATTGTGTGATAAAAAAGCCCATGTATTTTGAAAATACTGTCAGCTCTTCCACAACATATTATGGAGAAGCACAGCATTATTTCTGGGGCAAAATGGTTTACCAAAGCACTGGTAAACAAAAAACAGCTTTCTGGATTAATCTATTTTACTAGTGATAGCCACTAACACTAAGTAGCAAAATATGCTGTGTTTAGAACTAGGTCTTTGAACTGAGTATGTCACAAAATGTTAGATTAAGATTTTTTTAAAAAATCAGGTGTATTTGGTTCAAATTACTCTGTCTAAATGGTAAAAAGGTTTTAAAAACAATTGAAAGTAAAACTTTTAAGATTTTTATTTCATATCTTAGCCTTTTTAAATTTCAAGTTTTATATATGCTGGTATTGCCATTTCCTTATATGGTTGCACATTAGGACAGTAATAGATGTTTAATTTATAACTAAATATCCTGTTTGTGGCATCTACTGTTTATTTTTTTCTTTCAGTGAGAAAGATGTATGATAAAGTTGACTCCCACATTTAAACTGTTTTGTAGATAAAACACGTATTTCATGGCAGTCCTCGTTTAGTGCAGACTTCTTTTCAACTCCAACAAATTACTTATCAATAACAGTCTTCATTTTCATTTTCTGTTGTGTATCCTAAATGTGTAACTTATATTTCACAAGTCACATAATTCATTTCTGGATTGCTCAATAGTTGAAGGCCTGGGAATTCCAACATCCCCATGGTATTAGAAGTTTGTATATAATAGATGTGTATCTTTGTTAACCAACAGCAGAAAAACCATTTTGATTTGCAGCCTTAAAATGCAGTGTTTCAGCCAAAGCTTATTAGAAAATGAGATCTCGTGAAATTAATAGTGACATAGTAGAAAATTAAACTTTTTTCATAGCTGTTAGAACATTCCTTCCCAAACTGACATCTGTGGAAAACTTTGTAGGAGTGGATGTTTACACATTCAGATTAAGTATGGAAAGTACTGGGTTAAAGTCATGAATTTTGACTTTTGGTTTTCTCAGAATCTTGATGTTAATGTTCATTATGAATTTCCAAGGAAGAAACGTGTAGAGCATCTCCTAAGCTTGTTTGACCACAAAATGCTGTTGTAAGGGGGAGGTACTAATGCATTCGGAAAAAGTATTCCATAGGGGGGGACAAAAAACCTGTTCCGTCTGTGGCACGGGGATACTCAGAACCATTAGGAGGTATGTACTGTGTTCTGCCTGCAGATGAGACTCCCTCGGATAATGTATTAAATGCTCCTTTTTAAGTCGGGAAAAGATGGTAGTTTGGGTCTAAACACTTGTAATAAGATGCTATGAGATGAGGGGATGAAAATGTGTGTGATGGATCAGCTGTGTAGTGAAGAGGACTTTGGAGTTTGGCAGATACAGGTTTGAGTCCCGACATCATGGCTAAGTAAGTAGCTGTGTCATCTTGGACAAGGCCTTATCAGTCTTAGTTTCCTCAGCCTATAAAAAAGTTCATCACTTGTGTCTTGCGGTATTTTGTGAGGTTAGTAATAATTATATACTAAAATGTTAGTATATGGCATTTTTGCTTAAGAGAATTTTATTATTTTGGAATTAAAATTTTCTTCCGATCTTTGTAGAATCTGGAGGTGAACTGGATATTGTAGTGACCTCAAATAAAGAAGTAAAAGTTGCTGCCGTCCGAGATGCCTTCCAGGAGGTCTTTGGCTTAGCTGTGGTCATAGGGGAAGCTGGACAGTCCAATATTGCCCCACAGCCGGTAGGCTATGCAGCTGGATTAAAAGTGAGTAATACAACACCTTTCTTCAGCATAAAGAAACTGGCAGTTAATTTTTTCATAACTCTGATGATAATCTTTGGTCTTTATGGAGCTAATGGGTTTTTACATTCTGAGGTATTGATCGTCTTGGTTTTTATTTTGACAACTGTTGTGTTACGACGATACGGTGGAGTTTTAATTTAAAGAAACTCAGGGTCAGGTTTGATGCTTGGGGAGGGGAGGAAACACATGCAGAGAACACAGAGAGTAGTTCAGAAGAAATCTTAATCAATTGCTAACCTGTAAGTCCTACTGAACTTAAACATTTTATACTGAAATTACAGTATTACTTGAATTCTCTAAGCTTTATATTACTATCACTGTTAATAATAATTTATACTTACGTATTTCTTCATGGTTTTGGAAACTCTAACATATTTGAAATTTTCCAGAGTAGTAATGGGGTTCCAGTAGGCAGGTTCTAGATTGACCCTCTAAGTCTGCCTTTTCCCTTGTGCTTGCTGACGGGACTCAGCATTCTTCAGAAAGCTTTCCCTTGCTTCCTCGCCTTGATTCTTCCCTTCTCCATCCTTTTAATTCCCTTGTCTTAAAGACCCAACTAGCTAGCACCTTATACGTATGTATCACACCTTTATATAACCAGAGTTTGCCAGGATCTCTTTTAATAGAGACCTATTAAATCTTACTATCAGTAGTAATATCAAAAGGAGGGCACTGCCTTAGTTTTTCCACAGTGAGAGAAGAGGATCTTGTGATCAAGTCTATACATAATAAACTCTCCATAACAGGGACAGATGATAGGATAACTTACTTTAGTTTTTTTTTTTTTTTTTTTTAATTTGACAGAAATCAGAAGTAGGCAGAGAGGCGGGCAGAGAGAGAGGAGGAAGCAGTCTCCCCGCTGAAGAGAGAGTCTGATGCGGGGCTCGATCCCAGGACCCTGGGATCATGACCTGAGCCGAAGGCAGAGGCTTTAACCCACTGAGCCACCAGGTGCCCCAGGATAACTTACTTTAAAGAGAAATTTCATACAAGCGCATAGTGACACCACCACTTCAGTATTACAGAGTTTGTCTTCTGGCCTGTTACTATTTAAAAATTTGTCCCACATCTGCATAAAACCAGGCCAATTCCCAGTGAACCAGAACTGGTCCCCCCAAACCAGTGAAGGTTAAAGTTCCAAGAATCCTGTCCTCCCATATTACTTATTTATTTATTTTTACCACCAGCATATAGACACACAGGAACAAATGAACACTGAACCAGGTCATCAGCATACAAATATCTCTCCCACTTTAAAAAGCAAACAAAAGAAATTTTTAACATTTTTTTTGTACCCCCTCTTCTCGTGATCTACTATCTTAATTTTTATTTGCTTCTTTTTGCAGCAGCAGTCCTCCACAAAGAATTGCCAGCATTTTATCTCTAGTTGTTCCCTTCATATTTTCTTACCCCTGGCCCCGTCAGGTGCTCAGCCTGACTCTTCAGAGAATGCTGTACAGATCAGCAGTGTTCCCCATCTTGTTCTGCCTGTCAGTGGCTTTTGAGACAGTTATTATTCTTTATTGTTTCTTTCACTTCTGAAGTGCCACACTTTTTTTTCCCCTGCCTCACTGTTTGCTCACTCCTCTGTGCCGCCTCTTTTGGTTCCCCCTAATGATCTTGTCTTTACATTCCTTCCCTCGTGAGCTCGTAGTGTCTCATGGTTTTAAATACCATCAGTGAGTGGACAGTTTCAAGTTTCTATCTCCAGCACTGGCCTCTCAGCTAAACTAGATGCATGTAGAAGTTGTCTTCTCAACACCTTAAACTGAATGTCTCAAACTTAACTGTAGCTAGCATCCATCTGCTTTTCTTTCCTCCAGGCCTGCTCCTTTAGCCTTGTCCATCTCTGTTCATTAATGGCAGCACTATCCTTCCATTTTCTCAGGTGAGAAAGCTTAGAGTCACCCATAACTTCTCTTTTTTTTTTTTTTTTTAAAGATTTTATTTATTTGTCAGAGAGAGGGAGAGAGAGCGAGCACAGGCAGACAGAATGGCAGGCAGAGGCAGAGGGAGAAGCAGGCTCCCCGCCGAGCAAGGAGCCCAATGTGGGACTCGATCCCAGGACGCTGGGATCATGACCTGAGCCGAAGGCAGCTGCTTAACCAATTGAGCCACCCAGGCATCCCCATAACTTCTCTCTTTATCCATGTGTGGTTCTTCAGGAAATCTTGTTCATCCTCCACACTTGTTCACAGTGTGTCCAGCATCTGACTCCTCACATCATTCCAGAGAGACACTCACATCCAGTGTCTCTCTGGAACCTTGCCATTGCCTACTACAAGGCCATCCAATTTTAGTGTTATCTGATAAGGTAACTTTGTGGCCCTCTAGGTCATTCTGAACAGAGTAGACCGGTAATCCTTGTAAGTCATAGGTCAGAGCATGTCACTTGTGTTTCAGCACTTTATGTTTTACTCATTGTAAACCCACATTCCTTAGGGTGGCTTGCCTAACTGTGTTGGCCCCAACACAGTCTGGCTGATGTGGCATTTGTTTCCTCTCTGGCTGCTTCTCCAGTTGACCTTCCCCTTGCCCACTCATGCCAGTCACGTTGTCTTCCTTCTGTTCTTCATACTTGGCTGGCATGCTCCTCTCTTAGCCTTTTCTCTAGCTCTTTCTTCTCTTTGGGACATTCTTCCCTCAAATATATACTTGGTTGACTTTCTAAAACCTTCTTTAAGTCTTCACTCTAGTCTTCCTTGCATGGCGAGGTCTGTCCTCGCTGCCTGCTGAGTACTACATTCCACACTTACATACCAAGATCATCCTTCCTCTCCTCTCTTTTCCCTTTCCTGTAGTACTCAGCACCTTCTCCTACACTGTGTCATTTATATTTTATAAATATAAATATAAATATAAATATACAAATATAAATATAAAGTTTTATATTTGTGTTTTATGTTTTCCCACAGGAATTAAGGTCCTCAAGAGCAGGAATATTGGTTTGGATCACGGATGTGAACTCTTAGATGTTCTTTAAAATGAGTATCTAGCAGTTTTATCAAAATGTCCAAACGCTAAACATCAGGGGCGCCTGGGTGGCTCAGTCAGTTATGCGGCTGCCTTCGGCTCAGGTCATGATCCCAGAGTCCTGGAATTGAGCCCCGCATCAGGCTCCCTGCTCAGCGGGGATCTGTTTCTCCCTCTACCCTTCCCCCCTGCTTGTGATCTATCACTCATGTTCTCTTTCAAATAAATAAAATCTTCAAATAAATTAATTAAACCTTAAACACCAGAATTAAAAGTGCAGGGGTATGTTTTTAAAATTATTTATTTTCTCAAGTAAACAGTCTAGTATGCAAAATACTTTCATTGTGAGGTTTGCTTTCACTTTTACTTTAACACCCTATCATTTTCATGAGGAGAATAAAGATTTTTCATTTAATAGCACTCTAGTGGCCCATCCATTGTGGTACCTTGATCAAACCTCCACAATCAATCAGTGATCTTCAGACTGGTCTAGAAGTACCTCTGTTGATACACAAAGATTTTACAAGGTGTAAGGAGACCCAGAGAGTTTTAAGGAACTCAGCTTCTTCAGCTTCCGTATGTACTCTTGCCTAAAAATTTTCTGCCTGAATACTTACCTGTGATTAATTAAGGTAACTTGTTCTCCTTTCCCATCTCCCCCTTACAAAGCCCACTTCGCTTCCTTTGGGAAATGAGACATACCTTGTATCCACTAAATATTCACGTGATACATTGCCTCCAAACATAAAATACTCCCAAGTGTCATCTGAAGGAAGGGACAATTCAAAATAGTGTTTTTGATGTTGGGAATACAAATGACATAATGCCTGGGTAAAACCCTTTTGGAAGTCATGTGGCTTCCTTTTGTTTGTTCCCATCAAAAATAAAGAGGGGACCAGACAGAATTGTCAGCTGATAGGTCATTAATTTTTGGTGATAAATCACCGTGTGATATTTGGAGTATAATTCAAAGTTTCACAGTTTTTAAAACAAGAGTCTTAAATATTTTGTAGTAAATATTATTACATAGAAGATACTTAAAAATCATTAGGTGCTGTTCTTGAAAGGCTGAGATCTTTTCTGAAAGAAAAACCTCATCTTCTAGATCATACTTCAGTTTATGTTGTGGTTTCACTAGTGTCTGACAGATTCATTTGTGCTATTGGTTTTGCCCTTCAAATTCAGACGTGGGTTTCTTTTCCGTAATTTTTAATAAAAGCTTAAAATCAAAATTCATTAAAACTGATACATGCATAGGAAAATCATTTATAAGTTTATCAGTTCTTTATTCTTTTAAGAAACAGTAGAGGGAGCCAATGAGAAGAAAAATAATGTAGAATCCTAGAATATTAAAATTTCAATCCAGAATTTTTTACTCCCCATCAGATTATATTTGAAGTGATTGGCTCTTTGAAGGAAAACTGAAGTTTTAAGGAAATAAATCTGCTATAATTAATATTAGGAAGCCCCTGAAACTTAGTGCCAACCATTAATTTCATCAAAAATCCTGTCATAGTTATGACCACTGTTTTATAACTTATATTCATCAAAGATGTAGATAACATTTACATGCACATTAGAAGCAGCATGTGATTTTGATTAAACAAAATTGCTTAGTATAAACTCTTAGAGTACAGGGTAAGCTCTGGGGGCCTTTCTGTATCTTTCTTCTGTTCGAGACGATTACTTGAGTGTGGCCTGAAAACTATGTAATTCTTGATTCCTTACACTTCTGAAAATAAAGTTAAAATTTCATTCTCAAACATTTCTAAGGGCTAATCTTAAAGTGTCTATATTTGTGATTCCAGAAGATGCCACACTTAATTAACATCAGAGGAGAAGAGGCACATAAAACCCTCACTTCATTTTTCTTATGAAATAAAAAGTTCTGTGTTGTAGGATAGTAGAAAATGAACAAGCTTAATTTCCTGGAAGCATCAGATCTAGGGCTATTTGGTTGCAGTGCTTAGCTGAGATACCTTCAAAGAGCCAGGAATGAATCTCCTAAATACCCCACTAATCCTGTAATAGTTTTTACTGAATTAACATTTATTTAAACTTACTCATAACCAAATTTAACCATTACTTATTTCCTCTTGGGAGGAAAATGATTTAGGCAAATATACATTATTCAGTGCAACATCTGTTAAATTTTCTTTCAAATTCAACAGCTGCCTCATTCACTGTTACTAGATTGACATCATTCAGATTCTTAAGTGATACAAAAATTTTTAAGAACGGGGCACCTGGGTGGCTCAGTGGGTTAAAGCCTCTGCCTTCAGCTCGGGTCATGATCCCAGGGTCCTGGGATCGAGCCCCGCATCGGGCTCTCTGCGGAGGGCCTGCCTCCCTGCCTACTTGTGATCTGTCAAATGAATAAATAAAATATTAAAAAAAAAAATTTTAAGAAGGCACTTACTTCTTCCCTTCTGTTGGGTTAGACTGTGCGTGGTACTAGAGAGATAAGAGTAAGATAGTCGATAGTAGTATAGCTTAATTCATACTTTCTTTCATCCTTCATCATTATAAGCTAATGTCTTAAATTGGTTTATCCATTTTCACGCACTGGTCACCTTCTCCTCTTTATTTCTGTTGTCTCTGAAATAAGTTCAGTTATCTCTAGAAGTGTCCTAGCTTTTGAAATTCTCATTTGATAAGGATTGACCACTTTTTCTTATTCACTATTTACCTCTGCTGTCCATAGTAAAAGTAGGTTAATGTATTATCCATGGTAGTTTTATTCAAAAAAATAGAACACATTTTGTCTTGCTTTTTGAATACTTACTTTCACTTCCCTTATGAACACTGTTAATGAAGTGATTCAGATAAAGTAGTAAATAACAATTTTATTAAAAAACTTGGAGTTTTCTACCATAAGAAATGTATCGATGATTTTGAGTTATCTGTACAGTGTTCTTAGTCCCTCAGTTTTATTGCATATTAATAATTTTCTTAAATAAGTTTCAGTGCAATATACACATTTGTAGTTAAAAATAAATCACCAGTCATTTTTGTGCATTTTTAAGGCTATATTTATTTTATTTTATTTTTTTTAACATTTTATTTATTTATTTGACAGAGAGAGAGAGCACAAGTAGGCAGAGGCAGGCAGAGAGAGAGGAGGAAGCAGGCTCCCTGCCAAGCAGAGAGCCTGATGCTGGGCTTGATCCCAGGACTCTGGGATCATGACCTGAGCCGCAGGCAGAGGCTTTAACCCACTGAGCCACCCAGGCGCCCCTTAAGGCTATATTTAAAGGAAGTAAGAAGCCAGAGGAAAAAAACATCCACTTTGATAGGACTGCCTACCGAGATACCTCAAGAGAAAATTAAATAAAAACTACTAGGACTGAAAAAAGATTTTTATCAGTAAGGTAGCCCTTGGCAGATCAACATTAAGAAGTACATAGTTTCATTATATTAGTTATGACCAATTAAAACATTAATATAAATATCCATTTCATAGTAGCAGCCAACATAATAGTGTACGTGGGAATAATTTAGAATGTGTTGTATGAACTGTTAATACCAAGAGGCACATGATTGGATGTTTTTTTACTATTCTTTATACTTCCATATTTTTTGAATATTTACAGTGAGTGTATAGGTGTTCATGTGTAAATGTATTTGTGTACTACTGTATAACCATAAATTAGGATATTTGATACTGAATGATTAGAAATGGTCTCTAACCTCCATGGTTGTCATTCAGGGTGCCCAGGAACGGATAGACAGCTTGCGTCGAGCTGGAGTGATCCATGAAAAACAGACTGCTGTGTCAGTAGAAAACTTCATTGCAGAATTGCTACCTGACAAGTAAGAGGCTTTTTTTTTTAATAACATAGTAACAAATTTGCTTTCTTGTAGTGAGAACTCTCAGGATCTACTCTTTTAGCAATTTTCAGATACACAATACAGTAGTATTAAGTGTCGTCACTGTGCTGTACATTTGATCCTCATGACTTACTTAATAACTGAAAATTTCTATCTTCTAACCTGCTTCACTCATTTTAGTCGCCTCCGCCATCACCCTGCCAACCATCAGTCTGTCTTTGTGAGTTTCTTTTTTTTATTCCATGTAAAAGTGGGATTATATGGTATTTATTTTCTCTGACTTATTTCCCTTAGTATAATGCCCTGAAGGTCCATGCATACTGTTGGAAATGGCAAGATTTCCTTCTATTTCCATGGCTGAATAATGTGTGTGGGTGTGTGCGCATGTCTTTGTGTCTGTGTTTATGATCACACCACATTTTCTTGATTCATTCTTTCATTGACAGGCACTTAGGTTGTTTCCATGTCTTGGTTATTGTCAGTAATGCTGCAGTGAACCTGGGTAGGGGGTGCATATATATCTACAAGGTAGTGTTCTCATTTCCCTCCAATAAATACCCAGAAGTGGAATTGCTGGATCATATAGCTCATTTAATCTTTTGAGGAACTTCCAGATTGTTTTCCATAGTGGCTGCACCAGTTTACATTCTTATCAAGAACTTTCTTTTTCTCCATATCTTTTCCAACACTTTTATTTATTTTTTTTACTTTTTGGTAGTAGCCATCCTAACAGGTGTTAAGGTGATGTCTCATTTTGGTTTTGATTTGCATCTCCCTAATGAAGAGTGATGTTGAGCATCTTTTCATGTGTCTATTGGCCACCTGTATGTCTTAGGAAAACTATTCAGAGTCCCTGCTCATTTTTTAATTGGATTCTTTTTTTTTGCTCTTAAGTTCTTTGAGTTTTTGATAGGTTTTAGATGTTAACACCTTCTGAGGTATGTGATTTGTGAATATTTTCTCCCCTTCAGTAGGTTGCCTTTTCATTTTGTTGATGGTTTCCTTTGCTGTGTAGAACCTTTTTAGTTTGATGTAGTCCTACTTAATGATTTTTGCCTTTGTTGCCTTTGCTTTTGGTGTCAAATCCAAAATATTATCACCAAGATTGGTATCAAACAACTTACACCATCTTCTAGAAATTTGGTTTGTGATCTTAAGTCTTGAATCCATTTGAGTTACTTTTTGTGTATGGTGTAAGTACTCCAGTTTCCCCAACACCATGTATTGTACAGAGTGTACTTTTCCCATTGTGTATTCCTGGCAGTTTGGTGTATATTAATTGGCCATATAGGTGTGGGTTTATTCCTCAGTTCATTTTTCTGTTGGATTGATCTTTGTGTCTATTATTATGCCAATGCCATACTATTTTGATGAGTATAGCTTTGTAATATAGTTCAAAATATAGTTTGAAATCAAAGAGTGTGATGATGCTTCTTTCTCAAGATGGCTTTGGCTATTCAGGGTCTTGTGGTTCCATACAAACTTGAGGGTTGTTCTGTTTCTGTGAAAAATGCCATTGGAATTTTGGTAGAGATTATATTGAATCTGTAGATTGCTTAATGAATACTGTGGATATTTTAACAATTTTAATTCTTCGAATCCCTCAATCTGGAATATTTTTTTCATATATTTGAGTTTTCAATTTTTTCCATTAATGTCTTACATAGTTTTCAGAGTAGAGATCTTTCACCTTCTTGGTTAAATCTGTTCCTCAGTGTTTGTCCTTTTGGACGTGATTTTTAAGTGGTATTGTTTCTCTAAGTTTTCTTTTTGGTAGTTTAAATTAGTGTATAGATATGCAACAGATTTTGGCATATCTATACACTACAGATTTTGATTTTTTATTCTGCACCTTTACTGAATTCATTTATAAGTTCCAAGTTTTAGAGTTTTTGTTTTGTTTGCTTGTTTGTATTGTTTTTCCGTATGTAGTATCATGTCATCTGAAAATAATCACAGGTTTTCTTCTTCCTTTCCAATTTGGACCCCTTTTATTTGTTTTTCTTGCCTAATTGCTCTGGTAAGGATTTTCAGTACCATACTGAATAAAGGAAGTGGAAAGAGTGGGCATCCTTGTCTTGTTCCTGATCTTAGAGGAAACACTTTCAGCTTTTGATTGTTGAATGTGATACTAGCTATGGGCTTGTCATATGTGGCCTTTATTATTTTGAGTACATTCTTTCTAAACCTGTTCAGAGAGTTTTTATCATTACCAGTAGTTGAATCACATGCTTTTTCTGTATCTTATGAGATGATCTTACGATTTTTGCCCTTCATTTTGTTATTGTGTTGTATCACATTGGTCTATGGATGTGGAACCATCTCTACGTCTCTGTAGAATAAATCCTAAATGATGTGTATGATCCTTCTAATATATTGTTGAATTTGGCTTAATATTTTGTTGAAGGAGTGCCTGGGTGGCTCAGTGGGTTAAGCCGCTGCCTTCGGCTCAGGTCATGATCCCAGGTCCTGGGTTCAAGCCCCACATCGGGCTTTCTGCTCAGCAGGGAGCCTGCTTCCTCCTCTCTCTCTGCCTGCCTCTCTGCCTACTTGTGATTACTCTCTGTCAAATAAATAAATAAAATCTTAAAAAAAAAAATATTTTGTTGAAAATTTTTACTTATCTGTTTCTATGGAAATTGGCCTTTGATTCTCTCTTCTGTTGTGTCTTTGTCTGAGTTTAGTATCAGGGTAATGCTGGCCTTGTAAAATGAGTGTGGAGGTGTCCCTTCTCTTTTTGTTTTGGAAGACTTTGAGAAGTGTTGGTAGTAATTTTTCTTTAAATGTTTGTTAGAGTTCACTAGTGAAGGGGTCTGGTTCTGACAGATGTCTGTTGGGAGGTTTTTGATTACTGACTAGAATCTCCTTACTAGAAATCAGTCTATTTTTTACTGATTTTTGATTTCTTCATGATTCAGTCTTGGTAGGTTATATGTTTCTAGAAATGTATCCATGTATTCTAGGTTATCTAGTTTGATGGTATATAATTATTCAGTAAGAGGCTTATTTTGTCTATCCTACGAGCAAAGTACAGTTAGTTCTGGGGTACTGAGACTGAATATCTAGTTTAAAAAAATTTATTCAGTCTTTATCCTATTTTAGAGAAAATTATATTCTGGTCTAGCTTTATCATCTAACTAGCTGTGTCATCTCTGCTACCCAGGTTTCTCTTTTTTAATTATAAAATGGAGATAATAATGCTTACATCTTAAGATTGGTGCTATTATATTCAGTGACTATATACACAATTTTAAGAGGATACAATGCTGTTTTGGCTGAGGTAATTGACCACCAGTAGCCAACATAGTCATTCACACAGTTATTCAGCGTAATGGAAGGTATGAGAATCAGGGCCTGGTGCCAGTCACCAGGTTTGAGATCTGAGCAATGATGTTTATCTATTTAGTTTGGAGGATATTCAGAGAATCGTATTCATTATGGTCTTTTCAGGACTTTGTACTTTAGTTGGCTTTTTTATGGGAGAAATTATTTTTAAAATGCTGAATTTATTTATACTGAAAGAGCTTCCTAACTGTTGAAATCGATCTCTTTTGTAATCACATTTGGTTTTGTTATATTTTTTTGTTTATTTATTATTGAGTAGCGTTGTGCCTGGGACTTAATGGCTATAGTATATTAAAAATATTTTCCAGCTCTGAGGTTATACTGCTGGCAAGTTGGGAGAAAATAATGTACACAGATGAACAGTTTTAAGTGACTGTATAAAATAGTGTGTAATTTTTTGCTGGTAGGAAATATATACAGTACAAGGAGAAATAAATGTAGAGGTACCGTCACATGAGATATGTGGGCGAGTGGGACTTGGACGGGATTGTGAAGAGTAGGTAAAATTTGGGTAAGTGACAAATATAGGACATTCTGAGTGGAGGAAGAGTTTGAAGATGATGAGGATTCTGGGGTCAGTAGTTACATTAGCTTTGCTGATCATTTGTTGTATTAGGAAATCAAGTGATATGGGAGAGAGCTTTGAATGCTTTCTTTGTAAGCACCAAAGAGTCATCTAGTGATCATTATTTCATTTTTCCCTTATCTTAACTTTTTACAGTTCATTTATTGGTTATCTTAGAAATTAGTCTTTTAATAATAAAAATTGTGACTTGGTAATACTGAACCACTTTTAGTATTCTTTACCCAACATCCCCTTCATCTTTTATGGTATTATTTTCAGTTTTCTTAATTGTGCATACATTTTACACTCCTAAGATATTAGTAGTGTTGTCCTTTACTGTCAGTATTCATTGATACTTATTCTCTGAATTCCTTCCTGTAGTTTTGTTTTCCTTTCTGGGATCATTTTTCTTCTGTCTCAGGGACTTCCTTTGGCACTACATTGTAATGGAGACTTTATCTACAAACTTTCTTAGCTACTGTTTGAAAAAAAAAATTTTTTTTTTTTAAGATGTCATTTATTTGAGAGAGTGAGCTTGAGCAGGGGGTAAGGGTAAAGGGAGAGGGAAAAGCAGACTCCCAGCTGAGTACAGAACCCGACACGGGGCTCGATCCCAGGACCCCAAGATCATGACCCAAGCTGAAGGCAGACACTTAACCAGCTGAGCCACCCATGTGCCTCTGAAGATACTTTTAATTCACATTTACTAAGGCTGTTTTTGCTGGATATATAAGTCTAGATTGGCTGTTCTTTTCATTTGGCACTTTTTCTTTAATCAAAATAAACTTGTGGTACAATGTTTTATTAGTTTGAGGTATATAACATAGTGATTAAACAATTCTGTACATTACAGAATGTTCACCATAAGTGTAATTATCATCTATCACCCTACAAAATTATTATGGTATTTGTGACTATTCTGTATGCTGTATTTTTGTTCCTCCTGACTTATTTTATAACTGGAAGTTTGTACCTCTTAATCCCCTTCCCTATTTAGCCTAGTCTCCCACACCCTTCTCTTCTGGCAATGACCAGAAGAGAAGTGTGTTAATGTGTTTGGTTTTTTAGTTCC